CTTTTATCCTGTCTTCCTTCTCTCTCCCCAACCGGTCGCAGCAGATAGCCCCACCCTCCCTGAGCCTGGTTCTGTCGGAGGTTTCTTCCTGTTAAAAGGGAGTTTTTCCTTCTCACTGTCGACAAAGTGCTTGCTCAAAGGGGTTCATATGATTGTTGAGTTTTTCTCTGTATGTATTATTTTAGGGTCTACCTTACAATATAAAACACCTTGAGGCGACTGTTGTTTTGATTTGGTGCTGTATTAATAAAATTGAATTGAAGTGAATTAATGTGCTTCGTCTTGTTTTATTTTGCGTTTTCTCAGATTTCACTCATTGACTGACCAAAAGCAATGTTGACTTAAAATTTAAATAAGGAATCATTAGATTAAAGGATATGTGGTACTTCAAAAGATAATAACACTCACCAGCCATTTCAATTATATTTATATATAGTATATTCAAATATTTTAATCAATGCAGTTGTATTTTTATAGCAGCAGTTCACAGAAACACTTGTTTTAAGGTGCTTCATATTGCAAGGTAAAACTCTATAACCCCAACAATCGCTCCTTTGACCACGTGCTTGGTGACCCTCTGGACAGGAAAATACCCATTTAATAGGAAGAGACCTCCATCAGAACCAGGATCAAACCGGTTCTGGGTTGAAGTAAAAGAAAAGCGTTAAAAGGTTATAAGTAACAAATGGGGCAAAACACAAACTATTGGAAATGAAACTTTTCTTCTCCAGCTGGGCACTTCTACTACTCATGTTCTGATTACTGGACAACTCTCTCGATCTCCTGATCTATGGTTGCCTCCATCTATCCTACAGACATATTTAAGTGGCTTCTAAAATCGAAGCTTCAATTTCCTTGTTGCCACTTAGCTCTATTCAGCTCTAATTTGGCATTTTTCTTTCTTTCTGTGTCATACCCACCACACAGGCAAACATACAGTCACACACACATTCAGACGTCTCATGCTCCTTTGCAGGTTTTCAAGTGGTCTGGCCATTGTGTCCCCACCTGTAGAACATTGTCAAAGCACAAAGGAAGACCTCCTGTCAGCTTCTGTTTGATGTGATTTGATTTTGTATAGCCCTCTCAAACTGTACGTCCATGGGGCTTTGAAAGAAAGGCCAACAGCATGTGGAGTAATTTACATGTGTGTGTCAAGGAGGTATTGAGTTCCTCTCAATTTGTCACAAACCTCAAAAATCCTGCTTACTAACAAACATGCTTACTTTTGTATGGAAGTGCTTTTATTTGGACTTTTTTAAGGTTGTATAGTCAAAAGAACTTGTAGATGGTTTGTTGTGTTTCGTGGCCACAGGTAATACTTCACTTGCGTACAAAAAAAAAAAAAAGAGTTTCAAACTGAATATTGAGTATCACAAAAGGCTGGAATCTCTACCTGAGACTAGTTCAGCGCTCAGCTGCTCAAGCATTAAATAGACTGATGTTTGCCATAAAGTGGGGCCCCTTACTCGCCGCCCTGTGAGGTCACAGCACCTGTTCTTGGTAATTGCTGGCAGGTGATGTAAGGCCTCCGCTTGTTTTCCATGGTGTAAGGTGGAGGTCCCCCTGCTCCCTCCTACAAGGCGGCTGGAAACTCATGTTGCTTGTTTGGAGCAAATAATAGAGTCTGACTCGTTTGTTCTGCTTTCCCTGCGACCTGTGAGTGAAATGACTCTTTACCCACCTAATTGTAGTTCCAGAAATATGCAATGGCTTGTTTTTGATGGATGGACCATATTGATTTGATATAATTTTCAGTCCTAATTTTCCAGAAACTTCTGTCAAAGACTATTTTCTCAAGAAGTTATACTACAAAAAAAGAAACTTTTACAGAAAGAGAAATGCTAAGTAAGCAAAACATTTAAAATACTGTTGCATTTGTTGGTAATTCTAAAATTTTAGTCACATTTTAGTGTAACTACTAGAGTCTTGAAATACAGTTACTCAACTCAAAATAAGGTCAACAGTACAGAAACTCAGGAGGTCTTAATATCAGACAAGCTTTGAATAAAACACCAGAGCCTAAGAAAAAAAAGGATTTGTCATGTCATCATTTTTCCATGAGAAACTTTGAGCAAGTACCCTCGCCAACCATTATTTTTTTGTACATTGTGGGATTTTTGATTTTACTTCCAAACACGATTATTTGCGTAATCTGGTCTACTTGGTGAAAATCATAAGCAGAGCCAAAAACTGAGAAAATCTTTTAATATATTTTGTTTACAAGTCATACTAATAATACAAATGGAAAGTTGTCTTTGCAAAATCTGAATAAAAATACATTATTTTTAGCTAATGGGATTATATGATCATCTGAGCAGTCAGACCCTTAGGTTCTCCATCTCTTGTAGAAAAGTCTCATTGGCAGCCTCGTATCAAATTTGAAAACTTAGTGTTCGTTTTTCAAATAAAAGTTATGTTGATCTTGATCATTGATTACTGTATATAATCCTTTTCAGTCATACAGTCAGTACTTCTTATTATTACAACAGTATAATATATTTTATATCTGTACCCCATGTTGCATATGCACCTTGTGGGTTGAAAAGGAACAACACTCTATGTCCACTATGTGTTGTGGTATTGACAATTAGGCAGACTTTGACTTTGACTAACTTCCTCGTAGTGGTGCAGCTTCTCTAGATTAACACTAAAGTGGAACAGAACCTGATCAAATGAATTGTAAATTGGGGAACTTCCCCCACGTGTTACATTTACATTGTGTTTATGTCCAATAAGTACCATGATTCTCATGACCTGTCCATTCGCGTTGCCCTGAAAGTAAAATTCCAAGTGGATAAAGTATTACACAACCAAAGAATCCCCACAGTTTCCATGAAAAATAAATTACATGAAAATATCTTGTTAAGGAAAAAAACTTAACAAGAGTTACCTCTTGCATTTTGATCCAAGAGGTAACTTTTAAATTCACATGATGGTACACACAATGTGTATTGTTAATGTCATGATATAACCTTGTTGCAGTTACGTTCACTCAGATTGACAAGACCTGAACACATCTAAGAGCTGAAGGCTGTATAAAAATGAGACGTTTTAAGTGTTACAGTGTGAAACTGAGGACACTGAAAATTGTGGACTATTTTTTTTTGTTTGCACCCCAAAGACAAGCTAAACTGTTATTGTTTTAATCAGAATTTCTGACCATCTTTGTCTTTGCTGGGTCCACCTGATGATGTCTTTTCAAGGCTGGCTGCAGGAGGACAGAAGCCAGTAGATAGGGTATATGGCTCAGTCCTCCAGCCAGCTGTGAACCTGATAGCATCTGTTTTAAACGTTTGAGAGGTGGAGAGAAAGCAGCCCTCTTTTCGTCTGAGCTCTGGAGTGCTAGTTATCTCATGCCTTTTTAGTAAAGGGATCCACAGATGGCCCGTGTCCTGACAGCTATACAAATGTGATATCACTAGCTGAGGTATTCCACAAGGATCCTCTTACTGTGTTACTGTAGGCCGAGAAGTGGGACTCATTCATGCTCAGAGTAAACAAAACAAGTCGGCCACAAAAAGACTTCTCCTATCTCAAGACGAGGCAGAAAAGACAGAAAGAAAAGCTGCTTTCTTGTCTTTGTGAAGGCAGACAAAACAACCTCTTCACACCTGAGTGTGTCTCCTGTTCAGTTCTTTCCACGCATTGTCATCCTGTGTTATCGAAACCATCGAATCGACATGAAAAGATCATTTCATGTTCGGCTGTCGCCTGAGGGGGTTTGGATAACTTGGCTTCCATTTGCTTTGTCTGATTCCAGTGACGGAACCATTCGTCATCATCTTTTTTCTCAGGTTGTGTCTAGTTTGAACTCATTTCAAAGACATGATGAGCAGTCATGAAGCTGTCCTTAGAAGTATGTGTTTTGCTGGCAGTGAAGAATCCAAACCTGTTCATGGTGTTTTAATCAGATCGTGTTTGAGTTAAGGTGGCCCAAGTGTCGCCTGCACATCCTGTGTTATGGTGAATGGCCTGTATTTACTACTCCCTAAGGACCCCAAAGCGCTTTACACATGCAGTCATCCACCCATTCACACACACATTCACACTGGTGATGGCAGCTACATTGTAGCCACGGCCACCCTGGGGCGCACTGACAGAGGCGATATTTCATATTCTAAGCTAAACAGGCATTCAGCTTATATTTTGCTCCCAGTTTTGGTGGTCTCTGTCAAGGCCTGCACTGTTTTGTTACATAAATAAATGTAATGTACTGGCAACCCTGCTGTTAGAAGTCTACTGTAAAGGGTGATTGCCTGTGTGCCTGATAGGACCCCTCTTGAGTTGTTGATTTATGCCTGTCTGGTAGGTTTTCAATTGTTTCAGACCAAGTCCAAAGACTTTAAACATCAAGGCATGGGTCTGTCATTTTCATGTAATTTTACTAGACTGACTTGGTCTGAAATCACAACTTTGCTTCAAAGAGCTTACAAAATACACAACACATGACACCCTGTGTCCTTAAACCCTGAAATCTGGATAAGGAAAAAAAAAAGCGAAACCTCAAGTGGAACAATGAGAGAGGGTTCCCTCTACGGGATAGGTTTTTTCTGACTTGACTCTCCCTCCCTTTCCACCAAAGAGTCCTTATATGACACACAACATCGAGTTTTAAGTAAGCACTTCATTTTTTATGTCATTTAAAAGTACATTCTTCCCCCAGCTGTAGGTGTTTTGGAACGGAACTCAGACTTTAGTTACTGTAAGTGGAAGGACTCAGACCGTGTCCCACGCTAGTATCTGAGCAGGATATTTTGTAGACATCCCACTTCTGCAAGCGAGGCCTATTGAAGTATAACATAAGTTGGACTCATTGCTGATTTGAACCTGATTCAAAGTAAAACACGACCCTTTATATTTCAAAGTGGGAGGATTTGTAACAGATCCCTTCTATCTTTCCACAAGTGACTTTTTCCTCACTGGCTGTTACTCAGGAGAGGTTTGATGGTCATGATTATTTACACAGAGGGTTTCCTTCTTTTTCTCTCTTTTTACAGTCGGTCATTTTCATAAGGGATCATAATACTCTTGGACAGGAAGTATCTGGCTATATAGACTACGCCCACAGACTCAAGACCCAAGATTTTGAACCATATTTCAGTGGAAAGAAGAGGCTCATGCCAGCGCGCTCAGATTTATGGTAAGTCTCCTTCCATTGTAACATGTCCACATTGGTTTAAGAAGCCTTTACTCAGGTGGGATTTGACAAAATTTGAAGTGTAAGGAAATCATATTATCCAAGAATAAAAATTCACATTGTCGTGAGACACCAATATAGGTTTGGAAGGAGCTCTTTAAAAAGCAGAGTATGGTTGATACATACAGAGCAAGCTGCTGTGAGCTGAAAATGTAGAATAAATAAATAATAATAAAGTAGAGCTGCCAAAGTGCAGAACTTCTCTGGCTGACGCAGACGTGACTGAAGTCTCGATTTAAACAGACTGAGATCATGAGATTATTTTTAATGTATAGCTGATGACTGTGAAACAAACTGAAGACAATCCAGTTTCTTCAGTGTGACAGCATTTTAGATTGCTCTTTAGTTCGTGGGGGGCCTGGACACAGTTCCTTTAAACAGGTTCCTTTTAGGTCTTCCTCTTTGTTTGTAATTCTGTTTTCCACTGTGCCAAATCTCCCGGAAGAATTTGTTGGAGAAGGCAAAGATAGAGTGACAAAAACAGAGGAATGGAGAAGCATCACATTAAAGTTAGGGTCCTTGAATTTAATTCAAAACCAGCTGTCAGTACTGTGGCATCTCTGTAAGGTTTAAGTAAGGTTTCATTAAGGGTGAAGGGATAGGAACATTTCACTAACCCACAGTGACTTTCTGTGCTTTTATTTATCAGTCACCAAAGTTAGACTAACACATTTTCAGTCATACATGTGTACTGTACGTTTGACAATTCGAGGGTCAGCACCGGTCACACAATCCCAGAACAAGCCATCAATGAACTGCTGACCTTACAGGTGTAAGCTAAAATCTCCACTCTACTATTCAGCAAGGCAGGTGACATCTTTATAATTCCTGGTCTATCAGGATAGCTGTTTACACAGAGAGCTGTCAGCAGATTACCAGAGCCAAAACCATTCCCACATTCCACATATTCATGCAGACTAACACCTTACAAACATTTCAGATACGTGCGAGAAATCCCAAAAGGACAGACACAACCGGAGAAGGGTGAGAATGAGAGTGTAATACGTGGTTTTATTCAGAGTTCAGCCAAACGGCACACAGCCTGTTTGACCTCGGTGACAGAACAAGGTCTATAACATCCTAATGTAGATAGCTTTTCACGCTGAAATTCTGCTTTGTTTTTCATGCTGTGAATCTCATTTTTCTACTTTCAACATTTTTATAAACAACTTTCCGTCTTCATGTGTGAACCCCACCAACAAGGCTGCATCACTGAGGACAACATATTATAATCATGACGTTTTTGTCTTTTTAATGTGGTTACAAAGAAATACTGAGTATATTAATAAAAAGTTTGGATTTTGTAAACAGCATCTGTAGTTTGTTGGAACCAAAAGCTGCTTCATAAGCACATTGTCCAACAACAATATTCAAAATGCTAAATGGCAGTCTTAGAGAAAACTGCTATTGTTCCAGCAGTCAGAAGACAAGAATGACAGTTGGGGTTTTATTTTTGGAAGTGGTTTCCCCTTCCTTTTGAAACCAAAGTGTCAGACATGTGAAGCTTTGTTGTTTTATTTATCCATTTCTCACCACGTGTTCCGACACACAACCCCGCTTGTGGCCTTGAACTCGACCTCCTCTCTGGTGAGTAGAAGCCCTAACAAGCTCTAGGTGTGAGTCATTGGGTGAGCATGCCTGGAGGTAAAACCTACTCTCTAATGATGCTTTTAAGACACCCCTCACCACCCCGCCCCACCACCATCGACCCGCACCCCCATCTGACTTGCCGCTCCCTCTCTCCGACTCATTTTTCAGTCACTAAAACTTCATCAGATTTACACGTCTCCTTGTCTTTATTTAACTTCTCTAAACTTGCCTTCCATGCTACCGCTCCCCTTTTCTCCCCTCATATGTCATCTCCCCCCCCCCCCCTTTTTTTTTTTCATCTCTGTCGGGAACAATAACACCCAGTGTGGTTGCCGCTAAGAGGGAGCAGATGCTGGAGCTGCTGCCCACTCAGTGCACTAAACCTCCCACCGCAGGACTCTGAATCCTGTCCCTCCTCCTCCTCCATAGCCACAAAGAACACAGGGCAGCGACACCAGCGCCAGCTCTGGCCTCCACCTCCCATCTCCAGCAAGGAAGGGTGGATAGGTTCACGTATGCAGCCTTATGGGGGTGTAGCAATAGCAGTACTGTCCTCTTGGACTAAAGTATGAAGATTTAAAGATATAAAATACTAGAGAAAAAACATTATCGTTGAAAACCAAATGTGTTAAATGTACAGTTTATCTGTTCCACAAGTTTGATGTGGAAAATATTTCTAACTTTCCAACTTTGTGTAACAGGTGCCTGTGCTGTTTGGAAAAAAAGAAAGAAAAGGATATTCATGACTAAATACATACGACTTCCCCTCTGAGTAATAATAATAAAGGAGAAGAGTTGTCGTCTCTTATATCTTACTACAACCTTTAGTTCCTATTTAAAATCACATCTGGTTACACAGGCACAGTCATTTCACAGTTTAATTTCTTACATGTGAGTTGCAAAAATGGGAAGTGCTCAGTCATGTGACCGATAGAGCTGTGAATGTATTTGTACATAAACAACGAGCCATCCTTCTGAATATTTCCATGGATTCTATAAGAGCAGCAACAATATTCAGCTAAATGCTGGATGTGATTTATTTTAGCACGCACACTCGGCAGGTGGGTCATATAAATATAATTTGTAAGGACACACGTTCTGAGCCTCTGACCTCCAGAGGAAACCTGGTTAAAGTATGTCAAGGACGGGATTCTCCCAATTGCTTCAGAAGAAATTTAACATCTAGAAACTAGTAAACAAGACACAATCTCATAACCAGAAACACAATATTTGCTCTTCTGCTCTACTTACTGTCACCTCAGGGGAAACTGTGGCGTAAGCCTTTAAGTAAATAAAAGCAAAACCTGACACTAATACTGCAAATGGAGGGTGAAAAAAGTGTGTTTTTAGGTTAAATTTGTGAGCTTCCAACATAGACACGCACTGAAGTTCTGACCCTGGTCTAATTAACCCACAGATCTGCAGCTCTGTGCACCCACCTTCCTGCCACTCCAGATGTGCCTACAGCATCTCTGATGTCTATTTAATGTTCGCCAGCTAAGTGACCATCTGTTTATGCACTCTAGCTGTTCCCTTCCTCCGTCTCTTTATCTCTCCCTCTCTTCAGGCCCTGTGTTTAGCCAAGAGTTTTAAGAGGCTGAGCAGCTCACTATATGGGAATCCTAATTGATTTACTGGTTTTTCTGCTTTACATTGTTTATGTTTTGTTCTACTTGAAATCATGCCTCTTCCTGAAAACAAAACTTCTTTCATCTGAAGTATAAAACATCTTTACTCTTCAACAAGTCGTTCAAACGCAAACATTTTAAATTGCTGAATAATATAAATATCTCCTGCCTGCACTGCACGCATTTGCCAACAGACTGAAACAATGAATCTAAAGGATCAGCTCGACTGAAACATATAGCGCATGCCTCTTCTGGAGCCAAAACCATGTTGCCGCCACGCTCTGCCTCTGCAGTGCACCTGTGTGTCTGGCTTCATTTTCTGCTGTGAAAATATTTGCACTGCTGTCCCATTTTATTAAGTTTTAATACAAAAGAGAAACTGTTCCAGCTCTGAAGGTGATTTAGCGGCTCCGTCTCAAGCGTTGCGCCTGGGCTTTGTGGGGGTCGGTGGGATGTTTTATCAAAGCCAGCATGGTAAATATTTGCGGGAAGATTTCATGTCATCTTTGCTGATCTTCACATATGGCACACACATACCCTATTGGCAGGGTTAAATCCAATCAGATTCTTCCCAGTGCTTATGGGTATAGATTGTTTTTGAGGGTTCCAATGTCAGTACCATCGTCAGTCTCTTACCATCTTTCTATCTCATGTGCGTGTAAAATGACAGCGACGACTCTTTAAATACCATAAGAACAAAGGCATTGTGTGTTTCACCCCTTACCGCTGCCCATCAGTATGCTCTTACTCAATGGCTACATGTCAGTTGACATGTAATGCATGTCATACACACAAACAGTTTCACCTTTTCTAAGTTACAAAAATCTTTGCAGTTCAATAATTGGAATAACAGAAGTAAAATACATTTATCAGCTCTACAGTGGCTTGCAAAAGTATTCAGCCCCTTGAACTTTTCCACATTTTGTCACATTACAGCCACAAACATGAATCAATTTTATTTGAATTCCACGTGAAAGACCAACACAAAGTGATGTACACTTGAGAAGTGGAACGAAAATCAGACATGATTCCAAACATTTTTTACAAATAAATAACTGAAAAGTGGGGTGTGCGTAATTATTCAGCCCCCTGAGTCAATACTTTGTTGAACCACCTTTTGCTGCAATTACAGCTGCCAGTCTTTTAGGGTATGTCTCTACCAGCTTTGCACATCTACAGACTGAAATTCTTGCTCATTCTTCTTTGCAAAACAGCTCCAGCTCAGTCAGATTAGATGGGCAGCATTTGTGAACAGCAGTTTTCAGATCTTGCCACAGATTCTCGATTGGATTTAGATCTGGACTTTGACTGGGCCATTCTAACACATGGATATGTTTTGTTTTAAACCATCCCATTGTTGCCCTGGCTTTATGTTTAGGGTCGTTGTCC